CGAGCCTTGCTTTCCCTGCTACGACTACTACTACAACACTACTCTTACCACTGCCAACACCACCATTACTACTACTGCGACTGCTCAATCTATTGGCTTTGTCTTGGGGGTCTGCGTTGTTTGGGGGGGGTAGTTTAGGGGCTGGCTCACGAGCAATCTTGTATTTCGCTTCCACGGCCTGCCGCACGCAGCGTCTGCCGCAATTTATTTGCATCTCGGCCCAGCTACCACTCATTATATCAGAGGACATTCGCAAATCGCAAACCGCCAATAACCGATGAATGGACGACTGAGGTAGCGGGCTTACGTTCAAAGCAAGCGCACTCACATAACGGCTTGCCAGGGAACTTCGGGGCTGCGCACGCGCGGCAATAGGCGTGCGAATTTCCATGCGTCGTTCGTGCGCCAACTCGTACACCGACCCCCCCCATCGCTTTTCACATTGATGTTGCTTCCCATGCGTTGCCCATGCTCCCGGGCGCATCGGGGCACCTAGGGCGCGATCGGAATCGCGCTGGCGCGTCGTCGGGGCGACTTGAGGCGACCCCTGGAGCCGCCTGAGGTCATATCGGCCGTCTTTGGAGACGTCTTGGGCGCATCGGACATCTGCGCGGCCCGAGCCCCCTAGCGACACGAGCAGCTATACTTGTACAAGACCACATGCTGCGACGCAAGCGAAACTCCGACATGTAAGGACTAGATGCAGGCATGCCATCAAACCCAGAACACACGCATGCCCCCGCTGCAAGATACCAACATGCAATGCAAATGCATACTGCGTGAAAGCGAACGCTACGCACATGCACATCCCCCCCCTCCCCCAAGTCAGACCGGATATCCTGGGAGAACGATTCCTCGGCCACGCGCGAACGCAGCGCACGTTCACAAACTACGCAGGTTGCAAGACCTGGCGGTGCCTGTCAGCGCCGCCCAGCTGGCCAACAAAGGAACGGGCTGGTGCAACGCTTGCGCGCGTCATTTTTCCAGGAACGCCACTCGCAACCGAGCGGGCTTGCGGGGGCGCGCAACAATGCCGTGCAATGAGCTTGCCTGACGCCTTACGTGCCCTGGTTGACCACAAGCAGTATATCAGAGTTGGGTTTGGAAGCCATACTACGAGGACGATACAAGGCATGGCTTGGCTGGAATGCACTAGGCCTGGGCCTGACCCCAACAAGAGCGCTCGCGCATGGCCAGCATGGAGCAGGCCCCAATCGCGAGCCACGCAGCGACCGAAGGTCTTCACCGTCCACGTCGTGGTTGCTCAGCAAAAGGCGCTGTCGCCATTCGCGCCGCCGCGCACATTTGCTCACCTCGCGGGGTAGCGCGCGCAACACGTGACTCCATTTATTTCGGCGTCGGCCGAGCGAAGTGCTGCGACTTGCCATGCGCAGCCCTCCGTCCTCGCGCGCAGCGCGAGCGATTTTTTCTAACTACAACAACGAAGCTGCTTGCTTGTCTCGGCGCACGCCGAGCGCCTTTTTCTCCTGTATCCAACAACCAGCCAGGGGCTCCTTGAATAGGCGGCAGCCGAACGTTTGTGGCGACGTGCAATCCGCTGCCCTCTCTCGCGAGGAGCGCGAAGCTTGTTCTCGGCGTCAGCCGATTTTTTGGGCGAGCATCACTTGCCAGCGACCCCCCTTCCCTTCGCGCGGCCGAGCGATTCCTACCAATTGGAACTAGTTGCGCTCTTATCTCGCGCGGAGCGCGAGATGCTCCTACAAGGGTGCCATTTGGCTCGGTGCCAGCCCAGGTATTTTGTGAACTCCAACAACCAAGGGGGCCATGGCGCAAGTCTGGAAAACGCTGGGCCAACCTAGGCGCAAGGGTCTGCGAGGACCCGGGGCCGGCAAATCGCACGGTTTCCCGCAGGTCGCACAGGGCCCGCAAACCCGACAAGCCACATGGGCCCCACAGGCCCCACAGGTCGCACAAGCCCCACGGGACCTATACGTCGCACAAGCCCCACGGTTCCCACATGTCGCACAAGCCCCACGGGCCCCCACTTATCCCACAAGCCCCGCAGACCGCGGCGCGCGTGGGTCGGGGGCCCAGGCGCGCGCGGCCAGGCACCCGTGGTGCGCGAGGCTCGGGGCCTGCGACGCTCTGAACCGACCGAAGCTCAAGGGGCTCGCGGAGCTCGGGATCGACGAGGCTGCACGGTCTGCGAGGGCACGCCATCGCTAGGCGCCACCAGTAATGCACGCGGGCGGGCGCGCCATGGCGCCCGCGGCGTGCGCGGGCGGGCGCGGCCGAGCACCCGCGGCCCGCGCGCGCGGGCGCCGCCAGGTACTTGCGGCCTGCGGGCGCGCGCAGCCAGGCGCGCGCGCGCAATGCACGGGCGGGCGCGACCAGGCACCCGCGAGATCATTTTTTTATTCCGGCCGGTAACGCTCGTTACCCGGGGGGGGGGGGGGGGCACGGCCGACCAGCATCGCTTCCCAGCCACCCCCCCCGCCCCCTTCGGATGCACCCCCAAGCGGCGAGTCCCCAGCTTCTGTTTTCCTGCTGCTTATGCTTCGGCTTTGCGACGCCCCCGAATGACGTTCAACGTATTGGATTGTAGACTCCCAGGATGAACAGAAATAGCAACCATTCTGAGAAGGCGGGGATTTTCTTTTTTTAAAAAAAAAATTGAGGGGGGAGGCAGAATTTTTTAAAAAAATTTGAAAATTTTAAAAATCTTGCTATTTTGCCTGATCCCTGATTTCCCAGATCCTGGGCCCAAGTTGCGATCCGAGGGCCCAGGGCCCAGGCAAAATAGCATTTTTTTTTATATATATATATATATATATAAAAAAATGCTATGTTGCCTGATCCCTGATTTTCCATATCCTAGGCCCAAGTTGCGATCCGAGGGCCCAGGGCCCAGGCAAAATAACAAGATTTTTAAAATTTTTAAAATTTTTGAAATTTTGCTATTTTGCCTGATCCCTGATTTCCCAGATCCTGGGCCCAAGTTGCGATCCGAGGACCCAGGGCCCAGGCAAAATAGCAGATTTATAAACATGTTTCAAATTTCTAACAAATTTGCTGTTTGCCTGATCCCTGGTTTTCCATATCCTGGGCCCGGGCGTCTCTCCCAGGGCCCAGGGACCAGGCAAAATAGCAGATTTAAGAACAACGAATAATTGTTTGTTTCTGTGTTACCTGATCCCTGGTGTTCAAGATCCCTTGTAGTGAGAAGGCGGTGTTAACAGTGAGATGTGATGGCGTCGTCCAGCCGCGCTGCCGCATGGACGTCGCCACGTGCATAGCACATGTGAGCTTATCACAAAAATCTACAATAATATCAGGCGTCATTTTGTTCAATCACGCTGCCACATGGAGTCTGGTCCGTGCAGAATACATTGTTTTTTGCATGAAAAAGTAAGCAAAACAGCACGACAAACAAACACAAAACAACATAAGTTGTTGTTCGGCTGTTTTGGGCGTTTTCATATGCAAAAAACAATACATTCTGCACGCTGCAGCTCTTACCTGGCAGCGTGATTGAACAAAACGGCGCCTTCAGTTTTCGTTATTTCAAATGTTGTTAACGCGTTGTGCCCCCTGCCTCTTCCATAGCGCAACGTGTTCGGACACAGCGGTTACGACACATATGAGTATTGCATGCGTGTTTCGTTCTGTTTGCGCATATGTTTATTTGGTGGTTAATAAGTTGCATACATCACTGTGCAAGCATGTACCCGTTATGCTTAGACGTGTGGTATGCATGCGCTGCCGACGGCAGAGATCCACAACCACCCCTGTATCCAGCTGCTCGCGGTTGGCTCAAGTAGCTGAGCGTCAGCCCAGCAGACATTTACGATATCCCCGCCCAGCTGCTCACGGACCCTCCGTCTGGGAATGGCGGTGCCTTGCATGGCTTCCGTGCGCCTTGTCGACTCCCTGCACGACTACGCGCTCGTTGCAGCCACTAACGTGAACACCGGGGACCAGGCGGGTGGTCCCGTGGCCATCCTGTGGAGCGACACCGTCAAAGAGTTAAAGATTCGGCTGCAGGCATCCATGAGTCCAGCGACACGCTCGGCGATCCGCATCGTGGACGTCGACGGTGCGCCCGTGCAGGACGTGCCGTGGCGCCAAAACGCCGGGCTCTCAGACAGCCCGAATCGGCTTGCGCCAGGCCGTGCGCTCAACAATGTGCGGGCGCCGCTGGTCTGCCACATCTCTGCCGCAGGCTGGTCGGCCGATCTTCCCGATCGCGGGCGGGTCTGCTCAACCATGCCGTTTGCAGTTGCCACCCCCAAAAAATGCCCGCTAGGTCCACATGTCGACGCTATTCGGCCGGAGGGTGCGCCGCGTGTCCATCAGCCTCTTCGACCATTGGGACGACCACGCAGTGGTTGTGGCCACGGACGCCGCCAGCGGCATCCAGCTGGCGGGCCCCGTCTCCATCCCGTGGTTGGAGACTATGAAGGACCTCAAGCACCGCCTGAGCGCGGCCATGGACGAGGCGGCGCGCTCGCCGCTCCGCATCGTGGACGCCGACGGAACCCCCGTGCAGGACGAGCCGTGGCGCCAGATGGTAGGGCCCCGAGGCGAGCCGAATCGAGGTGCAATCGTCGGCCTTGCCAGTATCTGGCGGGCGTCGCTGATCGGACGGCGGGCTGATCGGATCTCTACGGGGCATTCCGATCGTCGGAGGGTCGGGCGAGCCAGTTCGCGATCGATCAGGCAAGCCGCGCCCTGTTCGCCAGGTGCGCGTGTCGACGCTGTTCGGATGGGCGAGGCGCTAGGCCGCGCCATGAGGGGCCGCGTCGAGGCCGCCCTGGGTTTTGAGTGTCCATTGGATTGTTCCCGCCAGCACGTCGGAAAGTTCGTCAGCGGCTCTCGGCCTCCCCAGCCCATGGAATTGCCGCCAGCATCGTCCGACCGCTGCATTCGCGCTCCCGTCGTTGCCGCTGCCACCCGCGGCTGCAATAGCGCTGGCCCGAGCCTGCACCGCTGCCTTCGCGGTCGGGCCCCCGATTGCCCCGCGCGCCCCTCTCGCTGCCATGGCGGTTTCCAAGTTGCACTGCGACCTCATGCGCAAGGTCGGGCACTATGTGCAGGCGCAGTGGGAGGAACATGGCAGGTTCATCGCGGGGAATACTGGGTACGAAGCGGCCCACTACCAGTCGGTCAAGAGCAGCCACCCCGCGTTCCCGATCTTCATGTACTCCTTGGGCATCATTCCAGCATTGAGCAACGGGGCCCAGGTCACGCTGGCCAAAACTGGGGGAGCCGCGATCCTTCGCCGCCCCTTTCGAGAGATCGCCGACGCGTTGGGCCCTCCCAGAGAGGGGTGGGGCGCGCAGCTCCCCCAGTCGTGGCTAGTCGGAAGGTGAACCTCTGGGGCACGCCAGACCCCTTGTGCCTGGCCCTGCTCAACGTGAACCACTCGCAGAGCCGGAAGAGCCGCCTCACGAACTTGGCCGAGGACTGCATCGGGTACGCCGACAAGCAATGCATGAAGCGCAACCGGCTGGTGTTCGAGGCCAAGGCGGTCTTCCTGAAGGACCTCGAGAAAGCCAAGAAGCGGAGGGCTGGCGGCGATGGCGCGGCCGTGCAAGACGCCGACACCCTGCCTGCCCAGGGCGCCGCAGATGAGCCGACCGAGCCATCCTATCCTTCATTTCCTGGCATCTGGTCCCTCGCATTCCTGGGCGGGACGATCGAGCGCGTGCGGGAACGCTGCGCAGGTGACTACAGGCTCGTCCGCCAGACGAAGATCGTCCAGAAGCTCCCCGCCCTGTCGCCCGAGTGGGTCAACCGCGAGCTCAGCGACCTTGACGAGGCCGAGAAGGCACTGGCCACTTCCCCTGGGATGCAGGGGCGCATTTGGTTCGGACAGGCGTTGGTCTACGACGAAGTGTATCAATTCCTCCAGGACTTGAGCATTCTCGATAAGCCCAACGAGAAAAAGGCGTCCGAGGGGCCAGGCTCGGGACAAACCCCACTGGCTGGGCGGTTTAACCGCCTGGCCCAGTGCGGGAAGAGCGATCACGAGACAAAGAGCAATGGTGCCCACGGCGGACGTGATTGCCTCCCAGTCTCGACAACCATTCTCGGGAACTTTCATCCAACCCCAGCGATCGAGATGTTGAGGGGCGATCGTGGGGATCACGGGTGTCAGGCAAAGGCGCGGCTCCTCGTCTGCACGGGCCTCCCCGTGCAGCCGCACGAGCAGTACGAGGAGATCGAGGGCTTGCCTTCTCGGAGCAACTGGGTGCCAGTGCCCAAGACCATCTGGGGGTCCATCGGCTGCGGGAAGGCGTTCATCAGCGCGACGGCGTTCAGGTCGCACTTCATGCCCGACGACGAGGGCGAGGACGAGGACGAGGGCGAGGAGGTGGACATTCCCGAGTACGTCCCGTCTGTCCACGGAGTGACGCACACTCTCCCCGACGGCGTCGACGTGCCCGTGCGCATGAAGTACGAGCAGGGCGTCTACGTTCCGCAGTGGAACCTCCCGAAGCGGGACATCGAAATTCCAGACCGCCTCAACCTCGGCAAGCGGGCGGAGGTCCTCGTTGAACACTGCTCTCAGAAGGGCCCGCGCTGCACCCTGGAGCTCTCGGACAAAGCCCGCGGCGCCTTCTTGAGCTACTCCACTTATTACAACATGCTCGTCAAGAAGGCCCGCGATGAGAACGATGCCGACAAGGGTGCGGAGCACGGGATCGGGCCTTGGAAGTTAGGCATGCTCGCCTCGGGCCTTTTCCTCGCGGACGTGATGTGGGGGCAAGTCCCGCAGGTGCACCGCGAGCTCCCGTGGGTCATCGAGGACGAACACTTCGAACGGGCCTTCAGGCTGTCTGGCAGCCTGGACGGCATTCGGGCGTCGCAGAAAGTGCCGCTGGCCAGCGGGGGGGGAGGGGGGCAGAGGAGCACCAGGGGGGCCCGCGGCGTCCAGGGCGCCCCCCTGTGGGGCCCGACGGGGCCCAAGTGGCCCCAGAATGGCGCAAAAAGCTTTGGCATTTCCTGCCAGTGGCTCATTCGGCACCCCCGAGGCATTCGCGACGCCTTCAGGGAGGACATGAGCATCCTGGACCCCGTGGTTCCCCCAACGGAGCTGCAGGCGGCCGACCTCGAAGACGCGGTGTTCAGGGCTGGCGACAAGGACGTCGACGGCATCACCGCGGTCGCAAACGTGAAGACGACAGAGATCGCGCGCCGCATGCTCCTGAAGCCCGTCAAAACAGGGGAAGAGGGAACATCGCCATACAGGACGAAGACGCACCAAGTGTTCGGTTTGTTCACCGGCAAGGAGCAGAGGGAGAGGCAGATCCCCAAGATCGGCGTCGCAGTGTTCCGCGAGATCGCAAGGTCATGCCCGAGCGTGCTGGGCAAGTGGGATGACGAGGAAGACGCCCTCGAGGTCTATCTCGTGGAGGAGCCGAGCCAGGACTACCGCGAGACGCTGCGCAAGTTTGCGAACATGGAGGCGGAGGTGTTGTCCGAGAAGATCAGCAAGAGCGGCCTTGACCCGAGGGGCTCTCGCAGGCGTGGCCGTGGTCGCGGCCGCGGTAGCAGCTGATCGGGCAAGGGCGCCGAACAGAGTGGTCGGGGGAGCGGGCGGCCGACCTCCCCGTGTAGGCGGAGCCGTGAGGGGCGCGGGGGCGCCCGCGGGCTCGGGCGAGGCCAGGGTGTCGGGGTGAGTTGATGACACCAGACTAGGGCAGTGGCCATTGGTTGGCTTGTGAGCGCGACGGTCGGATGCACTGGGTAGTCGCCGCGGGGTTGTCGGGCTCGCGGAGAGTCGGCCCCAGCGGAGAGCAGGCGGAAAATCTTCGCCCGCCTGTCTTTGCCCCGTCTGCGAGCCCCGATAGTCTGTTCGGGATGGCGACATTGCATGCATGGGCCGATGTCGCCGCCCTCGAGGCTCGGCGGACTGCCGCGCGCGCCCCCTTCCCGCGGCCATATTTGGGCTCGAGGCTCGCTCGCGCACAAGCGACGCCCACCCGCCCCCGCGCGCCCTCGCGCCGAGCCATGGGGCTCCAGCGCGCTGCGCGGCGGCCAGCAGCCGCGCCTGCGACGCGGGCGCGCTGCGTGGTCAAGAAACCAGCCGGCAAGAGCGCCGCCAGGAAGCCCGCTGGCGCGGCCGCGCGGGCGACCAAGATGCCGCCCATGAGGAAGGTGAGCGTGAAGAAGGCCAGGCACGGAGACATCGTCGCGCTCATGAAGGAGGAGGCGACGGAGTGGCTTCGCAAGCTCACAGACGGTGATGTGGGGGAGGGCGAGGACGGATTGGAGTGCCCATTCTGCGGCCTAGCGGTCACTCGCATGAGGTGCGCGCGTGACCACGCGAGGCTCCACGTGTCTGGGAAGTTGTGCCTGTCCGCAACGATGGAGGACGACGAGACGTGGGTGACGCATCCCAAGATCGCGGCCATCATCCGCGCCTTGCACGACCACGACGTGCTGACGGGTGGATCCGCGCTCGGTAACTACGCTTCTCGGGCGAAGAAGTTGATTTGCGAATGGGTCGGCTTTTCCGCGCAGCGCGGTGCGCGGGCGTCGATCTACACCGTCATGGGCAACCGCGACGTCAACGTGTCGCTTGTGTTCACTGCCGACGGCCCCGCATTCTGGGCACTCGGCGACCCGCGGTTGGAGGATTGCAGGCGCCTGGAGAACCATTACTACACGCAGGGGTTCGCGAACGCGTACGCGAGGAAGCTGCTGGACGCAGGCGGCGTATGCCACGTGGCTTTTCGAGCACTCTCCTCAGCGTGGCTGGAGAAAGGTTGCCAGGTCACGCAGCTGGCCAACCGACACTCGTCGACTATGACGGCGCTTGCGTGTGACGTGATGGAGTCTCTCGCGATGAAGAACTTCGTCGGCCAGCTGAAGTCGAGCCTCGCGCCGCTGGGCGGCTTCCGGTCGCTGTCGCTCGACGCCACGTACAAAATCGCATATAAAGTGGTTGGGCGCAGTAGCTTGGATAAGCACAACGTGATCACAGTGCTCGGGTTTCACGGGGAGGTCTTGGCGCTGGCGCCGTCATGCGCGGAGAGGCCGGATTCGTTCGGCGGCGCTGCCGATCAGGCAGTCCCAATGGCCTACAGGAGCAAGGTCGAGCACGTGGCGCTGGACGTGACCAACCAGAAAGTCTTGCTTGAGATGCGTGGGATGTTCCCGAATGTGATCGGCATCAGCTTGGACCCGATGCACTTAGCCTTCGCGGCCGATCGGCACTTGGCCAGACGCATGTGCTCAGGGCCATCATGGGCAAGTTCTCGGTGCGGGACACGACCAGGCGGCATGAGGTCATGTTCGACGGCACCAACCCGCCGCAGCAGACGGCCGCCGAGCGCACGCGCGTCCAGCACATCGTGGACGGGGACATCAGTCTAGCAAGGGCCACTAAGACGCTGAAGGAGATGGACCCGAGCCGCCCCATGAAGACGCGGGCTGAGTTCTGCGGGCTCCTCGCGGCGCTCGTCGTCGTATACCCAGAGCGCCTCGACGCGAGGTACAGCAAGACGACGCTGCGGGAGCAGTTCATCGCGGCTTGCCAGCCGAACCGCTGCGAGTGGCTGTTCAACAATTTGCGCTACAGGGCGCGGCTGACTCCCAGCGAGACCGCGCTGCTCGGCACGGGCACCACGCGCAACGAGCAGGTGCATTCGTGCTTGAAGGCGTGCTTCCACGACGTGATCACTGTCAGCGAGAGAGTGTTCGCCGCCGAGCTGAGCACGTGGGGCGCTGCTGAGCTGGCCATGGCGCAGCGCGCCTTATCGACCCGCACGACGGCGCGAGTGCGGCATGCGGACATGCGCCCATTCACGGCAATGTCCGCGACAATTTTCGGGGGCACCGAGTGGGGCGCCCACTTGGCCGCCCCGCAGACTTGCATTGCATGCGAGGCGGCGCCGCCAGTGCCCGCGCGGCGCCGCCAGGGGCCGTCCTCGCAGCAGGCGGCAGTGTACCAGCACATCAAGGCTACTGCTGGCGCAGGGGAGCGGATGTCGGTCTTCGACCTCTCAACGAAGAAGAGGCGCACGTAGACACTATAGTCTATTGCAGTGGGCAGCCGCGGGGGAGCGGTCATTGAGGCGCCGAAAAATCCACTCCACATCCATGCGTCCGCGCGTGGTGCATCACGTTGCGTTGCCCTACCCTTGTCGCAGACGTGGGCCAGCGAATGATGGCGTGTGTATGCATACTTGTGACCGTGTGTGTATGGCCACATGTGTGTGCATGCGTACATGTGTATATTTACAAAGAGCCGACATCTGTGTTCGTATGTGTATATATTTATATATTTTAGTTGTGTATGCACGTATATTCATGTATGTGTATGTATGTATATATATATATATATATATATATTATATATATATGTCATATATCATATATAAAGTCATGTATGTATGCATGATACTGTTTACATATATACGTAAACATGTTACACAATTGCGTACGGTTAAGCATGCATGCATCTATTAATGTTGACATAGTGATGAGCTCACACAGCCCCCCCCCCAGAGACACCAGAAGGCCAGGCCGCAAGCAGAATGCACCATATTGTCAAGAAAAACAACGAGAACTAGGGAGCCGATTTGTTCAATCACGCTGCCACATAGAATCGGTCGCGCGCCGAATACAGTGTTTTTTTGCAGGGGAAAGCAAGGACATCGGCATGACAAAAATCTAGAAACATGTTGAAGTTTTTGCAATGCTTGTTCTGTCACTTCCATACGTAAAAAAACACTACATCATGCACGGGGGCGCTTATACATGGCAGCGTGATTGAACAAAAGGGTGCCTCGATTTCTGGGTGATTTCCATGAGTCGTCAATGAGATCTGTCCGTTGCGCCCTCCATGTGGTCAGCTCCAAACTTTTGGAAGCATCCCGTCTACGGATGTTTCTCGGTCCCGGGCATATTTTGCACGCTCCCTGTGTCCTTGGCAGCTTTACCCATCCCGCCGCCATGCCATGTGTTTGGGGGCTAGGATGAAGGGGTATCGGGGCGTTTGTTGTCGATCGTCGCTCTCCCTCCTCTTACTTGTCGTCGTCCTCCGTTTCTTCCTCCCCCTACGCCTTCTCCCCCCATCCCTCTTCTACTTCTTCCTCGCCCCCCTTCTGGTATATTCAATTCGGCGATGCATAGGTCCTTGTGGAGGCATGCGAGCAAGCAGGGGTGCAACCGTTCGAGCGGGGTCCCAGCACCGTGGGGGTTTCGGGCCCCCCTTCGTTCCGCCTCCGCCTCCTGCCCCGCAACCACCTCATCCTGTCCCCAGGGATTTCTTCCAGGTTTCTGAGGTCCCGTGGGTGTTCAGAGACCACTCCATCGTCGAGGCCACTGTGGGCACTCCGTTTCGGCGGACGGGTGAGACGAAGGCTGTTTGGGGTCTTCTGCTTGGCAATGAGCCTGTTGGGAGGGGTTCTAGTGGGGATATGGGTCCTATCAGCGTTGCTGTAGAGGCTCCTGCTGCGGCCCTGTAGGTTCCTCAGCCCACTTCAGCAATCGCTGAGCTTCCGACTTTGCCACCCCAACAGATTGCTAAAGTGGGCGGTGTCGCTACCTCCGAGGCGCCTGTTGCTTGGGAGAATGACCAACGCCGTCGGGAGAACCTTTCGGTGGATAGGAATGAGGAGGATAGCATTGGCTAGCCTCTCGCGTTCCCGCGTCATCAGCACCCTCAGTACCCCCATCCCCCCCCTCATCCTCCTCCTCCTCCTCCTCCTCCCCCTCCCCATCCTCATTATCATCGTCCTTATCTTCTCCCCTCCGTTTCAACCTCCTCCTCATCCTCCTCATCTTCCCTCCTCCGCTTCATCCTCCTCATCCCCATCCTCATCATCCCGTTCCATTTTCCTTTTCCTTCTCCTCCTCACCCTCAATATCCCCATCTTCCCTCCTCCGTTTCAATCTCCTCCATCATTACCCCCATCATCCTCATCTTCCCTCCACCGGTTCATCCTCCTCATCCTCATCCTCCTCCTCATCATCATCATCTTCCCCCCTCCGTATCATACCCCCCATCGCCATCATCATGCTCATCTTCCCTGCTCCGTTTCATCATCATCCTCATCATCATCGCCCTTATCTTCCCTCCTCCGTTTCATCCTCCTCCCCATCCACATGATCCTCATCATCCCTCTTCCGTGTCCTCCTCCTCCTCATCATCATCCCCTTCATTATCATCCTTATCTCCCTCGTGCGTTTCATCATCCTAATCCTCCTCATCTTCCCTTCTCCGTCCCGTCCTCCTCCCCATCCTCATCCTCATTATCCTTGTCATCCTCCTCCTTGGTTTCCTCATTCCTGCTTCGTTCTTCCGCCATCCATTGTGGTTCAGACTCCCCGAGGTGCTCTTGTTAGCGTCCTCAGTTTTGGCTTCGCCACCTTGTCGACGGGCCACTTGTGCACAGCACGCGATGTCTTCTTTATTCTACGAGGAGCATCGTGTAACACCAGGGGACCAGATTAATGAGCTTGGTCATGAGATCATGACGATGATAGTGATGAAGCTGGTGGCGACAATCGCAGGCCTTCATGGCCAGTCTGTGTTGCCCCGATCTTTCATCAGAAGCGCATTCGGGCTTGCACGTCGGAAGATCCCCACATCCAGAGTTGACATCACACTGCAACAGTTTTGCAACGACTTCTTACCGATCACAGCTCAGCGTGCTGGTTGTGAGACATGGTGGGACGATCTCAAGTGGAACACCCTCCCCTTTGAGTTATCGGCCATGGACGTGTGTCTCCAACCTGTGATCCGTACTAAAGATGTTCGCGCCGTGGCTTTGGGTGCTGGAATTGCCAGGCGCGTGCTGAACGAATCCACGCACTTCGAGCTCACTTTACATAAATATGCGGATCTGCGCTTTAATGACACGCGCGCATCTCAACTTGAATCGATCCCACGGATATTAAGCAACATGGTCAGTGAGGGCGTTCAAGAAGAACGGCTCCAGAAAGCTATGGAGCAGGCTTCCTACACGCTCGGTAAGAACCCAAGGACTGGTTACATGTGCCCGCCAGTCAAAGTGTCGAAAACGAACGTCAAGAACACGGTGGCTGCCCGCCTGGGCGTGTACGCAGGGGACATAGTGCGGGGCTTGGAACGTCATTCAGTATCGTCCTTTTACGACGTCGTATTGAATTTTGATCCACTGACTTCCGTCGCAGCCGCGGGACTCAGGCGTTCCTTCATATGCCAAGTTTTTGATGCTTTACCATCTGGTTTCGCATGGGTTCCTTGATGTCCATGCGTTGCCAGGCGAGGTGGCCCCAGCGTGGCTCGGACGCGCGCGCGGGGAGTTTCTGCCGCGATGCGACTAGAAAGCTTGCAAGGTGTTGTGCGTGCGAGGTGGGCCCAGCGGGGCTCGGACGCGCGCGCGGGGAGTTTCTGCCGCGATGCGACTAAAAAGCTTGCAAGGTGTTGTGCGTATTTAGATATTCCCACTGTGCTTCTAGTACAGTATATATCATATCTAGCATATAGTATATGTATATATGTATATATATATGAATATATATATATATATATATATATTCATATATACATATATAATTATACATAAATACTGAACGATAACTTAACACTATATAAAATACAATTTATATGTGTGAATAAATGAACGCAGACGCGCGTGCGTCGGAGGATGCATATGTGGATAAGGAGAATTTGTTTGCTTAACGAAGAGGAGGATGAGGAGGGGGAGGAGGTGGAGAGCGAATGCCGATGAGTCGAGGATGCCGAGGAGGTTTTGTTTGCTTTTAGCCGAGGGCGCGGCTCGGAACACTGGAACTGCATGCCCGTGCGCCCCAGGCGGGGCTCGCGTAGTCAATCTACTTGCTTCGCGGATCATCGTTCCATGCGTACCAGATCAAAATGATATTGGATCGGTTCCACGCCTCGTACTTCTCACGTGTCCCACGACCGCGCGTCACGCCGTCCTGCGCTGGGCCAGGGATGGTGCCGCTGGCGCTTGCGGCGCTGGCGAAGCATCAGCCCGCGGGCCTTGCAGCGGCGGGGGCGGCCGACGTGGAGCAGGCCCAAGACGCCGACGACGAGGCCACCGACGACGAGGCGCCTCGTGAGAGCGCATCCAAACGGCCTCGTAAGGGCTCCAAGTTCGACCAGGAGCTGAACGCCATGGCCGTCAAAGCTTCCGCGCCTGCTGCTCAGCACGCGCAGGCTGTGGTCGCTTGTGAAGTCATGTTTCGGGTGCTCGCCATTAGCAGTTTCGTCATTCAGGTGGCCGATGCCCTTCCGAGGCGCCGCGGGCCACCACGGGTCAGCAACAGGACGGCCGCAGGGCCGCCGCGGGACACCGGCGGGGCAACCCGGGACAACCACGCGGCAACGATTGGAAATCGCAGGGCGGGACCTCCACGGGGAGGCGCGGCGGAAAGTGGCGAGCCATTTGTGCAAGGTCGACCTCGCCAGTCTCCTGAGCTACGATCTCGTGGAATACGGCATATGCGAACACCGTCGGCTGCTCACTAAGAGGCGCAAGCGCCGGGGAAAGAAGACCCTTCCAGACTCACACTTCTACCGCACCCACGTCGACGGAATCCGCAAGGCGCGGGCCCAGATGGTCAAGGCACTTAAGCAGAAATACAAGTACAGGTGATCGTCGCGCGCAGCTGCTCTGTCCGGTTTCACCCAGAAAAAAGCATTGGGGCGAGGAGGGGCGGAGGAGGGGGGGCGCGGGGAAAAATACAGATCACAGTAAACATATACTCCAACTACATACATACACATATTCACACACACACACACATATATATATATATATATATATATATATATATATTAATATACATACATATATATGTATATATATGTAGATATACATATTCATATCTATAGTGTTGTATATACGTATAGGTGTGTATACGTATATATAAGTATGTTGGGTTTGTACATATTCCTACATGTAAGAATACGCATATATTACCATCGACAGTATCGTATGCCTGCGTGTTATTTGGCAAGGCATGCGTTCAGGTGGTCCTACTTGGCCCAATAAGGAATTGTATTGGCGTG